CTAGCACCCCAGCACTCTCCCTCCCCAAACTCCATCATCAGCTGTAACCTTCACCCACCACTCTGTGCTGGACTCACTGCCTTCCCCTTTGCCCCTTTCCTGCTGGCAGGAGCCAGCTGCCCACGTGAGGCCTTCCCATGCGGCCTGCCTTCACCCCACTGAGCTCACCTCTCTTCCTCTTCCTCCTGTCAGCCTGCTTGTGAGAGAGGGGAGCAGAGAGGCAGGACTTGCTGATGGCCACTTTGTTCCCTCCCAGATGTTGGACCAAGACCCCTCCCTGCCACTTGGCACTGCCTGGAGGCTTGGGGAGTGGGAGGTGAGCAGGCATGCAAGCGAGAGCCGACAGAGCTTTTCTGTGTTGGTTTTGTCTGCTTCGCCATAACCCATAAGCCCCTGTGTTCTGGTGGCGGGTGCCTCGCCCTCAGGGCTACAGCAGTAGTGAGGGGAGGCCAGTGCTTTGGGCCTCCTTGAAGGCCACCTCTGCTCCAGATCGATGGTGCCAGTGGCTTATTAATTCCGATACTAATTTGCTTTGCTGACCAAATACCTGGTACCAGAGGATGGGGAGGCAACGGCTGGGAGCAGTGTCGCGGCCCTGGGGCCCAGCCCCAAACCGGGGGCTTTGTACATAGCTATGAAGAAAACACAAAGTGTATAAATCTGAGTATATATTTACATGTCTTTTTAAAAGGGTCGTTACCAGAGATTTACCCGTTGGGTAAGATGCTCCTGGTGGCTGGGAGGCATCAGTTGCTATATATTAAAAACAAAGAAAAAAGAAAAAAAAGGAAAATGTTTTTAAAAAGGTCATATATTTTTTGCTACTTTTGCTGTTTTATTTTTTTAAATTATGTTCTAAACCTATTTTCAGTTTAGGTCCCTCAATAAAAATTGCTGCTGCTTCATTTTTATATGGGCTGTGTGACAAGGGAGAGAATGTCAACTGAAAAGGAGCGAGACTAACGGGCCCTGGGGCTGTCTGTCCAGAGGGGACTGCACGCGCCCTGCGGTTTCCTCCTGACCTCTTCCTCTTGGGTCCTGCACTAAGACCTCTGGGACAAACCTCCCACCTCTCCGATGCTTTTGGAAAGGCAGGAAAAGAAGACGTCTGTGTAATGGGCAGGGACCGCCTGTTCGTGCAGCAGAGGCTCTGGGCCTAGAGCCAAGGCCCAGTCACTCTCAACCACAGATTGCTTCCTCAGGGGAAACTGGCGGGGTCGGGGGTCACAGGGGGAGCTGGAGGCCTACCTCGGAATAGCCAAGGGGTAGAGTTAGTGATTAAGAGGAAAGCTAAGGAGTTTTCTACAAACTCAAACCCAGATATGCGCCTACCCTCTCTGTGTGGGTGGTTTTGCCTGTGCTTCCACATGAGGGAAACTTGTCACCTCAGACTCCGTTCACATTCAGGTCCCTTCATGTTTCCCAACCTACTCTGATCCTCCACACGCCATTCTTTCTTTATCCGTGTGACCAGACTGCATGTGTTGGGACCATCACAGATCTTGGCCTCCTAGGGTTCTTCCACCCTGTCCCTCAGGAAAGGGAAAAAAATTCTCTGAATGTTTGTTTTTCTGTTGCTTGGAAAGTTACTTCCTCTGCCACCTGCTGGTTATCACTGTGCTCACCAGGCGGGTCCTGGCTCCTCAGAACCTTAAGTGCTCAGGCGACCAGGACTTGTCCTCCGTACCGAAAGCTTACTTTCTGCTGGGTTATTTTCGAATACAAAAGAAAGTTCAATGTGCTTTCATTTCTGTAGGGAAGATGGGATTGCTGCTTTAAGTTTCCTTTCTGAGCTAGCTATTTTTGGCCGCTGCGGTGTTGGCCACTATTGTAAAGTTCTCACTTATCCTTGTGTCTCTCTGTAAATATGCAACTGTCAACATATTACAGTTTGTGTTTATGTTTAAAGAAGGCATGATTTGGTCAACAGAGCCAGGTAATGAATTTTAGCTCTTAAAACCATTTGCTCTGAGACCTTATAGTGGTGTCTTTCCTTATAAAATCGTGATGATAATTTCTGCCTTGGCCTGCCCTTGAAGCAGTGTTGTCTGAATGGAGAGAGGATCTGTAACGGGCTTTATAGGCCTTCAGAAGAGGTGCTGGAGAAATAGAAGGCACTATTATTATAACAGTGATGTCCTTGCTGTTAGTACTCAAATCATCCACGAATTTCCCCAGAGACTGAGCTGGCTGTCAAATAAAAGATAGTGAAATTGACCTGAGAGAAAATGAAATGGGCATTTTACTTCAATGACCAGACTGGGTCTCCTGAGGAAAAGAATCCAGTTTATCTAATGAAGACATCATGCTGTCAAGGCACTGGATCTGTCTGGTTTCCTGAGGGTTAAAAGATTGGGACCTGGGATCACCATAGCATTAATCAATACTGTCTTTCTGCCTTTTCTAATTGGCATAGGCTGGGGACCATCACTCCCTTGGCACAGCTAATGTAATATATTGATCTCAGGTAAGTAAGATTGAACCTCAGATGAAGCAAGAAACCCATCTCAATGACAGTGAAGTCGCTGTGTTTATCAACCACCACTGGGAGGAGCCAGCAGGTCAAAGTCTCAGTCAACACTTGGTAATGTGCCAATCTACCTTAACAGCCCCATTAGTCTGACCTTACCTACAGGTGTGTACTGGTGGTGACTCAAATCTTTAGCCTCGGTTTTTAGCATCACAGAGCATTTATTCAATACCACCAATATGACTTGTAATGACTGAAGTACAGAATTAGACATGGCACAAGTGCAGGTCCACAGATGTCAAGTGCCACCAACACCTCTGTGCTGTAGCAGGATCCTCAATGTCTAAGATACAGGCCGAGTCTGACATCCCCACTGAGGTTGGGTTTTAGAAAATGCCTAAAATTATATTCAATGAGATTATTAGCAACTGGCACAGCTAAGGCTGATGCATCTGTAGGGAAGAGCAGAGAGCAGGGAAAGGAGAAAGCTTTGTAGCAACCTGGCATAGACCCACTCCCTCAGCTGATAAGAGCCAGGGAGAGGGAAGGTCAGCAAGAACCCAGATGTTCAGGAAGACTCAGTCTGGAACAAGTTCTCTCTAGGTTGGCACCTAACGATATTCAGGATCGTTTATACTGCACTGCCTCCCAGATGTTCGTATTGGCGCATAGAAGTGATACATTTAATAAACACAAATTCTCTTGTTACTCCAGGAAGGCTCGGGTCAGTGGCCTGCTGGAGCTGGCTCTTGAGCTGATTGTGTACATCTCTTCCCAACTCTGTGTTGTTAAGTGATCTCCTGTTGGTAGCTTGAAATCAGCCATGTGGGAGTATTTACATCACTAGAATCTAAATGCTACAAATCGGCCACCCCACTCCCACCGAGTTGATTGTTAATAATTTACCAGAAGACCACTAGCTCTGTTTCAGCACAGGGCTACATCTGACAACCATGAAACCCAACAGCCAAGGCTCTAAGTGATAAGAACAAAGAAACAACCTTGGCTTCTCTGAGTTAGTATCGTAAGAATGGGAAGAGAGGTGTATCAAGTGTATTAGATACCTATTAATGAAGCAAAAAGGGGTGAAGGCCAGCTGGGGCCAAAAGCGACCAAGGCTCCTTGACCTGACCATTCTCACTCTGCTCAAGGGCAGTGCCAGAAAGAACTGTAGAGCAGCCCAACAGCTCATATGAATCATTGAGCTCAAACAGGATTGAGCAAGCTAACTAACTAATCTCTTTCCCACATTCAACATCTGAAATGTGAACTCATTAAAATAAACACCCATCATTTTAAAAATGGGAAAATTTATTGTGAATCACCTTGCTAGGCCAATGGCGAGATCCATGGAATGCTGCATAGTAGGGATTCATCATTCTCGAGGAACTGGAATTCTTTAACAAGACATGGTGAGGCTTGTCCTCTGGTGGAGAGGAGAGTTAGGAAGCGTTTTAAAGTGCACATCCTTGCTGTGAAGTGCTGATGGCATTCCTCATTTAGGTGACCCCAGACAGGGAGATTTGAGTTTCACTTGGTTTAATTGACTCCCATCTAACTGCTTTCAATTTCCCAGCAAGTAAAGAAATCTAATTTTGTCACCCGCAGGCTGAAATACCTTTTCCCTTCTAAGCGCTCCCCAAGGAAAAAAAGCTGTTGGTCAGGTGCATGGCAATTGATTTATTATGTTTTTTCAGTATTGACAATACTGAAAACACTGAGCATAAATATCTGAACATAATACTTGTTACTGGATAGCATAGGGATTATACCAGACTTTAACAACCCCTGTGACTAACAAATAGTCTTGTTTGTGAAAGACAAACAGACCAGAAAAAAACACACCCAGCACAAACAAATGGTTAAGTCTTAAACCCTTAATTATGTTTCCTAGCAAAATGGTGGCTAATGAAAGCCATGTGTGCTAGAATAGTGGCAGCCTCCCAGATTCCTGCAGCCTCTGCAGGCCCAAGAGGGGGATGTCTCGCAACAGCCAAGCAGCAGCCAAACCTTTTCGATTGCCAGTCTGGTTAACTCCCCGTTTTCTCCTCCAAGAAGCTTTTTCTTCTTTTTACCAGAAAGACCTTGCTGGGGATTATATCCATTCCATCTCATAAGGTACTCTGTTTCCAGGGTGCTATTCTTACTGATGGATTACTCTGAAAAAGTTGGTTAGGTGCTGTTACAATGGTTTTTGGAGTTTCCAAGTTCTTACTTGGGTTACCAAGCTACAGGAGGCATAGGTAGCTAAGGTGCCAAGCTGGTTCCATTATGCAAAAAATTTCCTCTTTTAAAGGACATGCACACAAATATGGAGCTGTTTAAAAACAGCATGGGGGGTGGGCCTTACACAAACTTTGGCGGGATGACATAATGGTATAGAGGAAATGGACTTTGCAATTATATTTTCCTAAGTGGTCTGAACTTGGTCTCACTGCTGACATCATCTGGAATGGCTGCGAGGCCTCAAAAGACTCCTCAAGGACTAAATGGCTGATCCTCTATCTCAAACCAGACACAGACAGTCTTAGCTGGGAGGTCTTTCACGGATGCCACTGCTGAGGGCAGGAAGCCGGAGAGAGTGAGCTTCATCCTCCAGTAGTCCTTATGCTCCTTTTGAACTAGCCTGGCTGTTCTGGGTTGTCTTTTGTGATTTGGCCTGGAGTGTCTAGGTAGAAAATATAAAGACTTTAGGCACTGGTCACAATTAGATGTGTAAGTTCTTTAGGAGACCCTCTTTTGTTTTCTTAATCAAAATAATGACATTCTACAAAGTCAAGTCTCAGTTTATAATTTATGTTGGTAATAAAAATACAGAAGACACACAAATAAGGCCCCCGGCTGGTTACCCCATCTGCATGTTCACAGGTTTCTTCTTTGGTCCTTGGGAGCCAGAAGAGCCAACCCATAGTTCAGCTCTCCCATGACCCCTACTGTTTACTTGTGTTGTGCTCTCTGTTCTTGCCCCAAATTCCTTCACCCAAATGGAAAAAGTGGATAGATAAGTAATTTCTTATTTACATGCATTTTTCTTAAGATTTAAATTGCTTTCCTGCTAGTATTTCCTGACATCAGAAGCCTGTGTGAAATACACAACATATGGGAACTATTTCCATCTGGTGCAAAAGAAAATAAGAATCTGCCTATATTGTAATTAGCTTCTAGACTTAACATGTTTAGGTCTGATCCACGGTTGCATTGGTTGATAATTTTTTTTTCGCTTTTGGATAATTGAGTTTAAAAAATGTAGTGGTTATAAGATGACTAAGGTTCAGCCTACAACTTCCTGTTTGGATGACAGGAAGAACTGTGCAGTGTTTTGCAATAGTTACAACTCTAGATTCTTACTGCCCTTAAAGATAACTAGAGGGAAAGGGTTTTCTCTTTTTAGATACTTACAGCTTCTTTAGCAGAAGTGATGGATCCTTTAGGTAACGAAACAGGTGTTGATGGTGTGATGGGTGATGATGTAACTGGTGGTAGTTTTATAACTTCTTCATCCTTAAACATCAGAACTGAGAGTTGTGTTACTGATTTAAAATAAAATGTGTATTAGATCTATAGTCACACTAGCATGACTACCAGGAACTCATAACAACTACTTCATGTTCTGGCACAGGATTCAAGAGGGAAAATCTGGAAGCTAATTACACATAGACAAATACCGAAGTTTCTTAGAAGCAGATCAAATAGTACAATAAAGATTCCTTACGAAAGAACAGCATTATATTGAAATTCAGTTTCATTAAGGGAGTTAAAAATAGAAAAATTAACTCATTGTTATTTTCATTTTTTAACCTAATTAACCAAATGAAAGTGATTGTCTGACCTTAGTTCCCTTCAGTTGAGGTGCTAAGTCTACCACATTCTCTTTAGATTCAGGCGAAGCAGGTGATTCCACAGGAACACTCATCTTTGGAGCCTAGGGAGAGAGAGGTCTTGTATAAATGAGCTTTCTGCTCTTCCTGAAACTCAAGCACTTCCACAGTAGTCAATGCTTTTTAGCACAACTTGCTTTCCACTAAGTCCCTAACTTCCTCTGGCTACACCCTTCTGAGTAGTAGATGAGGTATGTCCCTGAAATAGCAACGTCGTATCATTCACCTTTGAGTTCTGAGCACCTTTTATACAAAAACTGCACTCTAATTAGATTCTCGTATTCAAAATCCTGTCATTAACAAAGTACTGATTTGCCAATGCTGATCCTGCTCTGTCTCAAAAAAAAAAAAAAAAAAAAAAAGTTGCCAGGTTTCAATTACTCATCAGTTTCTAATAGCATTGATATAATTTAGTCAAAATTGACATCTTTATCACTTTTGGTGTCTGATGATAAGTATATTTGCCTGACTTTTTTAAAACGGTAGGTGCTGCTTAATAAAAGCTCCTGCAACACGAGGAAAATGGAGGGAGGGAGTGGTATTTTAGAATAGCTAGCTAACCTGTCTGGAAGAATTCTATTAATTAGGGGCCGGTCCTGCGGCCGAGTGGTTAAAGTTGTACACTCCACTTTGGCGGCCCAGGTTCCTGGGTTCGGATCCTGGGCAGGGACGTACTCCACTCATCAGCTATGCTGTAGAGGCATCCCACGTACAAAATAGAGGAAGACTGGCACAGATGTTAGCTCAGTGACAATCTTCCTCGAGAAAAAAAAAGGAGGAAGACTGGCAATGGATGGTAGCTCAGGGCAACTCTTCCTCACCAAAAAGAAAAAAAAAAGATTCATATTAATTAGATTAAAAAAACAAATATATCACTGCTCTTTGAAAATAAGTAATTTCTTCGTGTACTTTGGAGGGAAAAGGGCTACAAAAATCCAAAATTATAGTATATTTAATTTGATGTCTAAATTTTTTTACAGAACCTAGCATGCTACTTGTTTTTATTTTGTATATATGGAGAATGGAAGTTAACGTGGATTAAAAAAACAACCAATAAAATGCTTAGGAGCTCGTCACTTTGTCCGTGATTCCTAGGTCTTTCTCAAACATTCCAGAAAGTAACATCTGGATATAGAATAATCCTGAGAACCCAAATTTAGCTCTGAAACATTGTGCTATTCCAAGATTTCCTTGCTTCTAAGAATGACAAATAACTTTGGTCTGTCTTAAAGACCAAAGATAGAGTAAGAACCCAGCAGCCTGCCTTTTAAGACAGGGTCTGTTCTGCAAAACTGCTCCTAGTCTCCTCAGATTCCTTCCTGGACAAAGCCCAAATCCAGATTAGTCTCTGGAAATATGGAAAGAGAAAGCAAGATGGTATTTCCTGAAGTACATTTTTCGTGCGGGACTTGATACAATTTTCTTTGGCTTGTACAAGGAGTCACTAGCATAACTGAGATTAAAAATGACTGGTCCTCACTCCAGAGCATTTAGTCTAATCTACTAAACCACATGTGCAGCATCTTCTCCAACGCTCTTTCCTTTCTCACCCATGCAGGTTCTGAGTTAGACATGAGGTCACAAAGCAGCGAACTGAGAGGCCCTTTCTGATGGAGCCGGAGCAATGCTCTAGCGCTTGGGCCAATCCTGGGTTCTTCAGTAAAATACCAGGAGGAAAAAAGGTGCTGAGTCAAAGGCAACAAAAAATGATTAAGGAAATGAGTCGAAGGATGACAAAAAGATTAGGCATTCTAGATTAGACATTCGCTGCTTAAAAGCTAATAGGAATCTAGATAAATGAAACAGATGTGAAAGAACAGTCTCGAAGGAGAAAGAGGTGAAAAAAAAAGTCTGCTAATGAAGACTAGACAGTTAAGGAGAAAGAATAAACTGGACTCCTATTACTAAAACTAAATTGAGCTGGGATTAAAGGCATGAATAACCCTATAGCTAGAGGCAGTTTAAGTGACAGATTTTTTTTTTTTTTTTAGGACTTTAAAAAAGATTTTAAAGCCAATTGGGCCAAATTCCAAAAGAAACACCTACTCTGACTGTAAGAGGAAATAAGACATTCTGGGGAGAGCCCAGTTTTGTCAGAAATCCAGATTCTCCACGAACCCAGTTACTCACCTCCCCACTTAGTGGTATCTCAATTGGCTTCGGCTTCACATCTATCAGGTAGAAGGTTCGTGACAGGAGCAAAAGAGAAGGAGGGACATTCTCCTTCAGGTGGAGGTCCTGCCACTGGAGAAAGGGAGAGGAATAAAACATGATCGAATCACAGAATGTCAGAACTCGAAGTGACCCATGATAGCTCCTGCTTCCCAGGTACATGCTGATAACTAACGGCAGAACAAAGAGAGGACCACCAGCCACCTGGCTTCTGCGCCAGTGGTTGAACCTTGCAAGCTCCCTCACTCCAGGAGGATCACTCAGAGTCAGAGAGGGGGAGAGGTCCACTAAACTCTCAAACCAATTGTGGATCAAAGTCACTAAGTATCTTAGAAAAAAAGTAGATAACGTGAAAGTATAAATCAGCCTCATTCACAACCAAAGAAATAAACACGAAAATGGGAATGAGATGTAAGTTTTCAAGTACCAAATTGGCCAAGCTTTTTAAAAAAATATTTTTAGATCAATGATACATGCACAAGAGACAAAATTCAAAAGGTAAAATGTAATCAATAAAAATGTCTAGCTACCCTGTTTCCCTCCCTAGAAGCAACCACTGGTACCACTTCCTTATATAATCTTCCAGAGATATCTTTGCATATACAAATATATGTTATTTATCTTTACACAAAGGGTGACATATACACACTGTTTTGTCCTTTGCTTATTTTCACTGAAATATCTTGAGATTGATTCATTTCAGTAGATGTAGAGCTGCCTGCCTCCTCTTTGAACATCTGTAAAGGATTCCATTGCATGGAAATGCCATAATTTATTTGATTATTCTCCTATAAATGAACATTAGGCTGTTTCCAATCTTTTGCCATTATAAATGGTGCTGCAAAGGATAATCTGTATCATTTTGCACATGTGCAAGAACATGGGATAAATTCCTAGAAGTGAAGTTGCTAGGTCAAAGAGTACATGCATTTTTAAATTTTGCAAGATATTGCCAAACTACTCTCCATGGAGGTTTCTACCAGCAATGCATGAGCGCTCCTCTCCCAATACACTCACCAACAGGGTGTGTTATCCAACTCTGATCTTTGCCAACATAATAGGTGAATGCGGTATCTCAAAGTTTTAATTTATCTTATTACGAAGTTAAGACGTTTCATATGTTTACCGTTTTTAGATTTTCCTGTCTATGAAATATCTGCCTGTATCCAAACACAGGTTTTTTTTAAATAATAATATATAGTGCTGAATATCATATGGTTGGATTAGCATCCTCACCCCCTTGTAGGGAGACTGTAAAATGACACACCCTTTCAAGAAAGCAATTTGACAGTATGAATCCACTTAATACTGTAAATGTTCAAAAAATAAATGATTTTAAGTACCTCTCTCTACAATATGTTCATCTTCCAACCAAAACAGGTCCAATATGTAAGAGGAAATAGCTACCTGACATGGTTTCAAAGTCACAACAATGCCTCCTATCCCAAAGTAATCTGTGTACCCTTTATGGCACTTTTTACAGTTACAGGAATGAGAATTTTAATAGGAGTTACTCCTTTGTTTTAAAGCATTGACACTCGTAATTAAAATATGTTATCTAAGGGAAAATATTAAACGTCTGTTCCCAAAGCTAATACTTAACATTGGTTTGGGGCACTAATTGGGAAAGCAGTCCCAGGTGAGCCACAGGCAAGGTTTTGACCTCCAGATGGATTCACACAGATGACAGGCCTTGTATTAGACTCTGCCCAGGCCCTTGCAATACCTGGAGCAGGCAAAGTCCTGAGGTGGCCCCAAGATTCCTGGTCCCTCGTGTACTCATACCTTCTCCCAGTTATTCAAACACTAATCTAGGCACCGCTATGAAGGGATTTTGCAGATATAACGAAGGTTCCAAGTCAGGCTGACCTTAAGATAGGAAGATTATCCCGGTGAGTCTTGCCTGATCACATGAGACCTTTACATCTGGAGCTGGAGGTCAAAAACAGGGCAAGTCTGAGATATTTGAAGCACGTGGGGTTTGCAGATGCAGGTGGCCTCCAGGGCTGAGAGTAGCCTGGGGCTGACAGCCAGTGAGGAAACAAGGACCTCAGTCCTACAGCTGCAAGGAACTAAATTCAGCCAACCAACTGAAAGAGCTTGGAAATGGAGTCTTCCCCACAGCTTTCAGAAAGGAACACAGCCTGCACTTCTGACTTACAGAACCATGAGCTAATAAATGGGGTTGTTTTAAGCCACTAAGTTTGTGGTAGCTTGTTACGCAACAATAGAAAACTAATACAGTACCCTGTCTCAGTCAGAAATAAATCTAGTTTCTTCAGCATCCCACTGCTCAGTTAAACAAGGCAACTTCAGTAAGATGGTTCACTTGCAAAGTAGAAATCACAAAATGAGGTCTGCAAATTCTGGGGAGAGAGTTCTAGTGAAAACAGCCCAGGACAGCTGCTACTTGCCTCTGTGAGCTGTTGTCTCAGCTGTTCCTCAGTGAGACCCAGTGACCTCATCCCTCGGGCCCTACAGGCAGCTTGTAGTTCTGACACACTCAAAGCACTCACTCCTTCTTTGGCAATTATCTGGAAGAAATGAAAGGAATGGTATTGGATCTTTTGGTTCCAATTTTACCTAATCTGTACATTCCAACAAATCAGAGGAAACACAGAACCTGATGCCTTCACACTTTGTCCCCTGCACTGGCTGCTGCAAAGGTCAGGAGCCTAAAAGAACAAGGTGACTTGGGAAGCTGTAGCAGTTGAGATGAAGGGAATCCTGCCAACAGGTATTAATATCAGAGATATTTAGATAACTCCTCCCCAACATTCTGTTACCAAAGTACTTATTTCCCCTCTTGATTTGCATTTCTCCTGGTGTAACATCTCTACTCCTCTTCCCTTTTGTGGTAGCTTTAGGAGTCCTTCGAAAAATATTTCACTTGAAAAGCTTTCAACGTACCATTTGTAGCATGTCCCAATAGTGTTCTTCCCCCACTCTCCCCCTGCCACTACCCCAGGGATAGCCCTAACTCCCTGGTCCACAAAAATCCCTCAATAAATAACTTAACAGAGTTTCTGCTTGGTGTGACCCAACACAATGGTACTTCTGGGACCAGTATTGTTTATTCCAAAGTTCTGAAAGCAACAACTGAAATCTAAAGGGGGCCAATGGGATCATGCTTTCTCAGTTCTGGGAATCCTGCTCCCTCAGGCAGAATGCTTTAGAGCAGCTGATTCAGATTCAAGAAACATTCTTTCCACTTTTTAAGGAGTCTAATTAGTAGTTATAGTCCAACGGTGCCCCTCTTCCATAAGATGTCTAGGCTCTGCTTTATGCTTTGCCACCCCTTCTTACCAGGCCAACTCACCCAGCAGAATATTTACTCTGGCACCAGCTCCGCAGGAGGGGAGCAGAGGTGTGGGGGTAGGGCACTGTCCTTGGCAGTGGAAGACTCAGGAATCTACTGGGCTGCTGTTCCTTCCCAGCAGGTCCTAAGTGCTTTAGATTAGTCCCTGCTAAGACATCCAAATTACTAACTGCTTGTGATGACCTTCTCAAGAAAATGGGTCAGAGTACAAGAAATAGCTCCTAAAACGAGTGATCAAGGTTCAGGTTGTCATGGTAATGGTTGTTTAAACCACTCATTTTGCCAGAATCAGTACATGAGCAGACCCACCAGAAGATACTGCATTTCATTACAGCGCCACCCTAAGATATCTCCCAGCACTTGCTAATTCCCTACAGCTATGGCGAAGCTCTTACTTCATCATCTGCTTTTATAGACTTCAGTTTCATCAGGAGCTGAAAGCGGAGTAAATTGTTGGTTCCAAAGGACTGCAATTCTAGCAGTTTGCAAAGGGCAACCAGCTGAGGTCGATCCAGGTGCTCCAGGGTTAGCTGATCCTCAAATAGTTTGGAAAAGCGAACTATCTCCTTTGTGCTGGGCTTGTGTCCTGTCTGGACCTAAACAGCAGGATGAAGAGGCATTAAAATCTGTTTCCTACTTAATTTAACCTTCCCAGTAAGACTATTTGAAAGACATGTCAGTGCCTTCATGGATTCTATCTTATGTCTGGAAATGGGCCCTGTGGTACAAAGAGAAGTAAAGAAATGTCTGAAGTCAGGCTAAATCAACTGAACAATCAGGAGTGGTTCAAACCTTTTACTCTAACTCTACTGTTCTTTCCAGGAAGTTATCAACATCTTCAACACATTGATTGCATTGATAGGTTTTTCTGCTAACTACTACAATTATATGTATATAACTTAGATATTTGCAAATTCAGAGGTTGTGAACAATTTGGAAGATCCACAATGACATGCATTTTTCATATAACTGCCAGCCCAGCAGTTGTCTGGTATCACCTAAAAGACTTGACACCTGTTTGACGTAGAACGAGAACTGTGTGGAGGCATCTCCTAACTTGGCCCTGTTCCTTCTTGCCATTTCTGTAATTGTTTCTTGAAGAAATTTTGCTAGTTCCAACTTTGCAGCCATTTTCTTCCTCTGTTTTTCTTCCTTAATAATAGAAGAGGACAAAGTTAATCAATCCTTCATGATGACAATTTGGTAGATAAATGTGAGAGAAAAATAACTGTCACCTTGTTATTGCTCATCCCTATTTCATGTATTATTTTCAGACCTAATTGAAGGGGTTTTGTTAGAACCAGAGCAAATAAAAAGTAGCCTCTACTTGCAACTTGCCTCCTTAAGCTTACCTGTTATTTCTAATACAATGATTACAAATATTTGATAGATCCAAAATGTCCCCTCAATGGGAGGCTCTGTCATTATTTAGAATGAGATAGGGGCTAGCCCTGTGGCCGAGTGGTTAAGTTCGCGCACTCCACTGCAGGCGGCCCAGTGTTTCGTTGGTTCGAATCCTGGGTGCGGACATGGCACTGCTCACCAGACGATGCTGAGGCAGAGTCCCACATGCCACAACTAGAAGGACCCACAACAAAGAATATATAACTATGTACTGGGGGGCTTTGGGGAGAAAAAGGAAAAATAAAAAATCTTTAGAATGAGATACTCATCTCTTAACCTGGTGCAAACCAGCTAGGCTGCTAGTTGAGCCAACTCTCGGTCTAAGAGCCCTGGATTTTGCTTGGGCCACAAACAAAGAAAACTGGAAATTAACTCTATGTTAAAGCAGCTTACAGTTTAAGTAATGCAAAACAGACACAGTTTATTACAATACAATCAATGAGTTAATTGCTATAACAGATATGAACAAAGCAATACAGAGAAGAGAATTAAATGTATACTCTTAAGACACGATGTTGACCACTACTTCTAAATCCTTGTTCATCATTAGAAATACAAGGAGGAAGCATTTTCAAAATAACTACAGTCAGGACTCAGGGGGGGTAGAAAGAAACAGGAAAATATATATACATGTATTTTTTTTCAAGTTGCCCAAGAGATTTTAATAATCAGCCAATCATAGCAATTATTGATTTCTTAGAAATATCTTAAAAGACTCAGCCAAAAAAAATCACACGATGGCAACACTATCATTAGAACCCATTTGGTCATCCATTACATTCATCCATATCCATCCATCCATCCATTCACTGAACATCTACCATGTGCCAGATGCTGGGGATGAAATGAGCAAAAGTAGATATGAATTCCCGCCCTTGTGGAACTTCTAGTTTAATGTGAGAGACAAACATTAGTGACTAATGATAATCCAGTAATTCCACAAATTAATGTAAAAGCATAATGGATAAGTACTATGAAAGAGAAATGCATGGTACTGTGATCCGATGTAAACAGAAAGCTAGCGCGCTTGCTCGCTTTCTCTCTCTGTCTTTTCATGGAACAAAGCAAACAAGAAAGTATTTTCTAAAACTGTGGCCATAATGTGTATATATGTACATTCAGGGAATGAGTAGTGTTGAGGAAAGAGGAATATTTGGATAAATCACTTCCTCTACTCCCCCATCTTCCTGTATTCACTAACACTTTCCTTAGAAACCCATGGTATTTATTTCTAGATCCTGATTACTTTAAATGTTAAGTAAATTAAACCACTGCCAGGCAGTTAAATTTTGCAGTTTGATTCTACCCCTTAAAAGTATCTCAAATCTATCTTCAAGTTTTTACTTCTAATGCCACTTTCATAATTTAGGCTTCGTCATCTCTCTCGCATGCTATTGCAATAGCTTTCCAGCTGATTTCCCTTCCTTGGCCCTGCCCTCTTCAATCCTTCCTCCCAGCAAAATTGTTTTTCAAAAACACGGATCTAATTGTGTTACCTACCCCCTGCTTAAATTTACCTTCCATTATTTACCACTGTCCAAGCTAAAGTCTAAATTCCTTAGGGTGGTGGATGTTTTCCAGGCTGACCCCAACACAGCACTTCTGTCTCATCATCTACCATTGATCCCCTTATATTCCAACTACAAAGAACCAATCAGTGGTCTCTGATTATGTCATACTCCTTTACACTGTTAAGCCATTTCAAGTGCTAATCTTCCTATCCAGAAGGCCTTTCAAACACTGTGGTAAAATCCTACCACTCTTTAAGTCTCAGTTCCCCAAAGTTACATCTTCTGTGAAACATTTCCCAGTCTGCTTTAAAAGCTGCCCTCTCATAACGATGTGTTCATGCCATCATACCACTGTCTAGCAGAGTGGCACAGAATGGAGAGAATGAAGCAGCTGCCTTGGTTTTCCAGTCTGTCACCTTCAGAGTGACCATCATATGAGGACACCCTCTTCTCAGGGACTATTCATACACACAAAAGGGTCTGTTTGGCTGAATAAATAATGCCCACTGTTCAACTAGTCACCTGAATAAATAATGTCTACTGTTCAACTAGTCACTGCAGTAACAGTTGATTTTTGTTTTCTTTATTTTTTAATGGTTAAAAACAAGTTAAAATTCAATGGGAAAGGATAGTTTTTTTCAACAAATGGTGCTGGAAAAACTGGATATCCACATGCAAAAAATGACTTGACACTGATGTTACACTTCTTATAGAAATTACCTCAAAGCAGATCATAGACTTAAATGTGAAACTGAAAACTATAAAACACCTAGAAGAAAACATAGGAGAAAATCTAGATGAACTTGGCAATGAGTTTTTCGATACAACACCAAAAGCACAATCCAAGAAAGAAAAAATCAATAAGTCGTACTTCATTAAAATTAAAACCATTTGCTCTTCAAAGGACACAGTTAAGACATTAAAAGAAAAGCCACAGTCTGGGAGAAAACATTTGCAAAACACACATCTGTTAAATGACTTGTATCCAAAATATAGAAAGAACTCTTAAATCTCAACAATAAGAAAACAAATAACCCCATTAAAAAGTAGGCCAAAGATCTAAACAGACAACTCCCCAAAGACATACAGATGGCAAATAAGCATATGAAAAGATGCTCAACAGTCATTAAAGAACTGCAAATTAAAATAACAAAGAGGTACTACCACACATCTATTAGAATGGCTAATATTCAAAGTCCTGACAACACTAAATGCTGACGAAGAAGTAAAGGAACAGGAATCCTCATTCACTGTTGATGGGAATGCAAAATGGTGCAGCTACTTCGGAAGACAGTTCATTGATTTCCTACAAAACTAAACAGACACAATTGATCTCCTACGTATTTACCCAAATGAGTTGAAAGCTTATGTCCACACAAAAACCTGCACATGAATATTTATAGCAGCTTTATTCATAACTGCCAGAAACTGGAAGCAACCAAGATGTCCTTGAATGGGAAAACAAACTGTGATACATCCGTACAATGGAATATTATGCAGTGACAGAAGGAACTGAACCATGAAAAGACATGGAGGAACCTTAAATGTATATTTCTAAGTGAAAGAAGCCAGTTTGAGAAGGCTACACACTCTATGATTCCAACTATATGACATTCTGGATAAGGCAAAACTATAGAGACAGTAAAAAGATCAGTGGTTGCCACGAGTTCAGGGAGGAGTGAGGAGGGAAAAACCAGGTGGAGCACGAGGGCTTTTTAGGGCAGTGAAACTATTCTGTATGACACTGTGCTGGTGGATACACGACATTACGCATTTGTCTAAATCCATAAAACTATAAAACGCAAAGAGTGAACCCTAATGTAAAGTATGAGCTTTAATTAATAATAATGTATAGATATTAGTTCTTCAATTGTAACAAATGTACCACACTAATGCAAGATGTTAGTGATAGGGGAAATGGTGGGGAGGGGGTATCTGGGGGCTCTCAGTACTTTCCACTCAATTTTTCTGTAAACCTAAAAACTGCTCTAAAAAATAAAGTCTATTAATTTTTTTTAAAAGTTAAAAAATCCTACATACCTTTTTGGATTCACTTTCAAAAGTTGATGGCAACATCTCTGGGAAGAGTTTCAGAAACACTGGTAATAAGAATTCCATGAAGGGTACAATTATGAACACCATAAATGGAACCAGGCGGAAGAAATCAACACAAGTTCTCAATAGCTAAAGAATTAAACGCATATGCAATATTCATTATTTTAGGATGTACCAAAAACAAAAACCAAAAGAGCCTGCCTTAGCTCGTAAAGTGTTAAAAACACAAGACAGATTTTTTGCAGCTGGTTATAAAATGGCAAGGCCGGGTTTTCCTCTTTACCATAGATCTGAAGTAATACATATGGGCTATCTTCAAGGAAATCTATGACAATCAAAACATATTATTGGTATCTCTTAGCTTTCATCTAACTTAGGGGTCCATAATTTAATAACATGATAGCTATTAAAATTTTTTGAATGCATATACTTAATATACGAACAATAGTTTGTATTTCGGATGCACAGATCAAACCTGAAGCCTCTCAAATCCCTGGAGAGATTAGAAAGCACAACTATAACCTTTCTATAGGCGAATATACACAACGTTTAAGAATCTTGCCTAAAGTTGTACAGCAAGTTAGTTGCAGACAAGTAAGAAACTCTGGTTCTCACCATCAGTTACTATTCCTACTTTGAGGTTTTTAAGATGAATTTTAAGTTGAGCTTAAAACTTGATTCCCACATAGTTCATTTCAGCTGTACATTTTCTGTCTCAAATATGATTCTTGCCTACCCTTCGTCTCTCTCTCCTGGTCAGCACCTGTCCGTGCAACAGCCTCCAAACCATTCTGGCAGCAACTTTGGTGTCAATCCAAAGCAAGTAGAATCCATTGTAATAATATTTAAGTTCATCCATAATTTTTTGTCTATAAGATCGCTTTTCCTCCTCAATCCTCATGCCAGTTTCTTTTGTGGGCTGAGGGCTTGTCACCCGTGGCTTTTTTGTGGTTTGCTCTAGCTGAGGTTTGCCAGGGAACTGTTGTAGCCAGCAAGTTGACGTATGCAGCTTTTCTATCGTTGTAGTTCGTAAGCGAAGCACTTTACTGGCTGACTGACTAGGGTAGGAGTATTTTTTGCTTCCGCAGTTCTTCATATACATTTTATTTAAACGGGAATCTGGCAAGTGAAGAAATGCAAATGATGGGGAATAAGCAGAGCTGGTAGAATGGACAAAATGGCCAGGGAATCTGGAAGAAAGAGCAACATCCTCTGAGTGGAGCACAGACTATCACAAACTCGGAAGTGAAAAATAGATATTCTATCTGGTTAAAATAAAACAATAGTTTTTAAGCCTGTATTTTAAAGGAGACGATGTTCATTAATGAATGAAATATAACTTTTTACCCCAGTGGAAGAGCAGTATGCTTTATGGCTGAATGATAGACTCTGTGAGAAATATTAATAAGTTAATTCCCAAGAATAATTGCTATATTAGAAGTTAGAAACTCTTAGTGTTGATTCAAAAATCTAATAGCAAACATTTTTCCACTAGCAGTTATGTTTGAAAGTTTGTCTCTATCTCCTATCATAGAACAGGTGGAACACGTGTCTTTAGCTACTCTACTGACAATAGGAATATTGTTTGAACAAAATACTTCATGGTTCCTGTGGGGATTAACCAATCACACAGTACTGCCTTGTCTATGAGTGCCAGCGGACTCCCTCAAATGAGAGGCATTTATAGCTGAAATGCCCTTCACCTAAGATTCCTCAAGAATGTCAGCAATAAGAATTAGAATGGGGCACCCCAGCCAGGATCTCTACATTCTAGTTTTGCAACAGCTCACAATCTTCCGTTAAACTAGCCCACCACATTGTTTGAAAATAAAAATAAGACCCATCTAGACAAAAAAGCTTCCTGGCAAAGAGACTTCTTTTGGCAAAGAGATGGCTTTTTCCATTCTTTCAGTCTTTTTTTGAAGCATGCCAGGATAAAACACTTTCTGAGAGGCCAAAAGGTAAACTGTACAATGTATCCGGCACATAGTAAATTCTCAGTGAATATTCTTTAGAACAAATAAGTGATAACAGATCTTACTTGGGCAGGTATACACCCTAGGACTGGCTTGCTTGCCAGTCATTTTACACATTTTTACATCTAAGGGCCTCATGTAACGTTCATCGATTACAGAGGTGTCACTCTAAAACCATTACATCTTCCACCTTACCTGCCCCACTTGTCCACAAAACGAGATCAGCCTGAGTACTAAAGCATGTAAAAATTTGGGGTAAGTTTAAATATATCAGCTTCCTAAAAACCAAAATAATGGGGCTGGCCTGGTAGTGTAGCAGTTAAGTTCACATGCTCTGCCTTGGAGGCCTGGGGTTCACAGGTTCGGATCCCAGGCACAGACCTACACACCGCTCCTCAAGCCAAGCTGTGGCAGCATCCCATATACAAAGCGGAAGAATATTAGCATGGACGATAGCTCAGGGACCATCTTCCTCACATACACACACACACAATAAATTAATTTTAGAAAAAACCAACATAGTTATAACTAGCAAAGCTTTAACTGTATACTAGGCCTATCCTTTTACATATATCTTTGTTATCTAAAAGAATAAAGTTCAGATAAATATTGGTGAGAGCGGATTTCAAGGCTTACCTTGTCCGGGCAATAGCTAAGACTGTATTATAACTGTAGAAGGCCATGTTTATATCTGTCTCAACTAGTCAACATAGGCACCTAAGCAGAAGGAGTAAACAATTTAGTATTTTAAGAACACATCAATTATAACGATATCAGGATTTAAATGTTTTTAACTATTGCAAAGGTAGAAAACTCGCATATTCTATTCAAGGTGTAAAATCTCGCTCAAGTTCATTTCCAGCAGTCATGAATAATATTTTCTTAGCCCTGAATTTGAGAATGGTACTTTGAGATCCCAATACATAATGATCTTTAATATGATGATGCTCATGATGGTGACATGGTCTTCTCGGACATTTTGATTTGTGGTCAATAGTACCTAGCAATCGACTTGAATGGTTGCCAAGTATTTAAGAAGCCGAGCAAGACACACTTACTGGTTGCCTAAAAATACAGGTAGAAATTAAATATCCCGGATTTGTTTTCAGTTACCTTTTTACCATACTTAGCAAAGCTGCCCCAAATTTTAAAGATTGAAAGTACTCACTAATCTCATATATGTACCAGTGAAGATGTACATGTATCTACTAACAGTTCAAGTGGAGGTGAAGCGGTTTCCCGCGCTAGCGCTTCTTCAAAGAGCCCAAACTGAGCTTTATACCTTTCAATAAACTTTACCCAAACCCTTCTTCAACCTGTGGCTCTTTTCAGCCAAGGGCAGCAAGGAGCTTTAGTATCAACCTTGCTTTCCTGCAGCTGGGAAAGCAGTACCAGGGTCCCTCCTGGACGGAAACCTCAACCAGAGAGCTGACATTCCGAACGAGAGTTCAAATAACACTCGGGAACATCTGAACCCAGCCCAAGGGCGGGTGGCCTCAGGCTGACGAGAGACCAGATCCGATCCCGCGGTTCGCCCGCGCTCCCCGGCCCGGGGTCTCCGGCCCTGTGCTGTGGGCGCCCCTTGCCGGGCGGGAGGGCGGGGCCGGGCCGTGAGCCCCGCCTGCGCCATCGCACCGCCCACGCCCTACGCCGGCGCCCGGGGGCCCGGGGTTACCTTTGCTTCGGGCACTGGACGACTCGGGGGCAAAGCGAGCCCTCGGCTCCCTCAGCCGGTGGCTTTGGTGGGCGTTGTGTGTTGGTGGGCTGTGTTTGTAGTGGTGAGGTCTGGGGGGGGGGTGTCTTTGTTTTGGGGTGCGGGGGTGGTGCAGGCACGGGAACCTCCTAGGGGATTCGGGTTTACGGAAGGTAGACGACGAGAAGCACGGTGCGGGGTACGGAAGAGAAAGGAGGCAAAGCACGGAAGGAGGGGGAACGGAGGCTGAGCTCCAAAGTTGGGGGGCGAGCAGGGGGACAGGGTCCAGGGCCGAGGAGAGCGAGGTGGGGAACTGGAAGCTGTCGGGAAAGCGGGGCGCTGATGGGAGGAGCAGGATGCGGAGGGAGCGGACTCCGGAGGAAAACAGGCAGGCTCGGTCCACCCAGTAACAGCCGGAGGACTCGGCCCCCCACTTCTACCTCTTCGGGCGGCTCCCCGGAACGGCTGCCTCAGTCCTCCGCTCCCTTCTCGACTTCCCCCTCCCGCAGCTCCCCAAGCTAGACAGGCCGGAGGCCAAGTCTCTATGGCTCCACCTCCTTCCTCACCCGGTACCGTCACTGAGTGACGACACCATCCACCAATGAGCGCTCAGATTCTGGGGAGGGAGGGCGTCCTTCGCGGGGGCAGCCCCAGGAGGCAGCAAGGTCCGCTTCCCACCGGCGAAATGACCTCTCTGTTGGGTTTAAGGAGAGTCTGTGCTGGGGGGCCCAAGACTGACGTTTTTCTGCCTGTCCACACTCTGTAGGTTGTGGACTAACCCCCCTTCCGCCCCGAAAACCCTTCACTGAAACCCGGATTAAAGAAGCTCTTACTCTACCGGTAGCGTAATGTGCCTGATAGTCGCTATGGTAACCATCTTGGAGTCAGGAATTACATCACTTTGATATATTCCCGCACCCTCTCCAACTCAGCAAATGCCGGGGGCGAGGGGAGGGGGCCGAGAGCAGTGGGGAGAGGGAGTGGCGGAAAGGTTGGGAATGATAAGGAAAACATCCCTCTCCCTTCTCCTGGGCCCAAGACTGGAATGCTGTGAAATCTTCCCGTGGAAATCTGAATTCCACTAAAGAAACTCGCTTTAGAAATGTTTTCGTAACAGGTATTGTTTGTGATCAGTAGTTAGTTCGTGTAGAAAACGGAAATAGCATTTAAAATGTGTATTATAGTAGCTGTGCAGTGACAGGGTTTGGGGCACTTCAGTTCCTAGGATGGGCACCTGAGCCATCTTGGGAAAGTGAAATATCTAGAAATGTTCTCGCTCTCTACTTATCTCTATCCACCCATTTTATCTGACTCTGGAAGGAAGATAAACTTTTTAGTGGCTCTACTTTAACATTAGATTGCAAGGAATTGCTTTCGCAGGGAGAATACGTCTCTTAACATATGAGCTGACCACAGACGTTACTCATCTGGGCTGCACATTTGTAAGAATGAAAGATGGCGGCATTAAATTTCAGGGTTTTAAAAAAAAAAATGCAAACTGCTTTTAATCCTCAAAGGATTTTTCAGCTAATAACCCAATGAATCAACTATGTTAAATGGGCAAAACGTTTCAGTTTGGCCACTAGAGGGCCCTTTGTGCATGTCTGATGCCCAATTTTCCCCATAAAGATTTCACTTCACGTTCCCTGTTTACTAGAATTAACAAAATCTACAAAGCTTTGGTCTCTTTGCCTTTCCTTCCTTGAAAATTCCAGATGGTAAAATGGTAAATTTTGAGCTCTAAAAGGCTAGGTAGGTATGATTTCCACGTTAATTGTATAAATCTGCACTACCACGTACAGGTACTTTTCTGGAAAAGATCATAAAGGAGGCAAAAATATTCCTCTCAGTTCCCTGGAAGACATTTTATACCGAGAAATATTCTTATTCATGCATTGTATTCACTTACAACCAGGCACAGTGAAAATCATTAAGTATTCATAAACCAGATGAACCCTTCCAAGCTAGTATTTAAAAGATGAGCTAGATTTTCTACCATGGCCATATGTCAGCAATCCTGTTCCGAAAAGGGAAGTTAAAAACCTTTCTTACTGAAATGCACTTGTTCAAAGCAATGTCTGGCTTCCCCTATTATCAGGCCTGGCGATTTTTTGACTTTCAGATAAATGATTTATCATATAAAGAGTTTCAGGATATAATCTTTGGAAGAGAAACAAAAAAATTTTTTCCTCTGGCCCTGAGATTTGTGTTAGATTGCTGTCTTAATGAACTGTTTGCTCATTTTCCATGGACAAGAGAAAGCATGTTCTGAACCTCAGAAGATGTTTGATGCTAACAATGTAAATTATTATTTTTAGTGGCCATTTCCCTAAATATGCTCCAGTTCAAATGTTGTTAACAATGTATTTTCTAATGTTTTGCAGGAAGAGGCTATGCATCTACTTCACATAATTTTAACGTTAAACTCTTGTCAGCATAGCTGTAGAAGTAGAGTAAAATAAAATCCCCAGGGACAATTTACCAGCTTCTCCTTAAGAGGAAGATCCAGGTGTCAGGTGAAATCAACAGTGTATCAACAAAGCAAGGAGGATACCGGAAAGTGGAAAAGGCGAATGGAGGTAGAAAGGATCATAGGGGGAAAAAAGACCAATTTAACCTTTGTTTCCAGGAGATAGAATCAAACTGAAATAAGCTCAAGTGGCCCCCTTTACAAGTCTGCGTTATAAGAAGACATTTAAAACAAACAAAAATGCACTTTTATTGATTCCTTTAACTTTTGATACTACACAAAGCATAGGTTTAGAAATAGTTAATGATTAATAGTGATGGGAATGCTAAAATTCTGAATATACCTTAGTATTAACAGGGTTATGTTTTTAAAAACTAATATGATTAGTAATCATTAAAATAATTGATCTGTAGGAATCTGTTAATTTCTTAAGTGGTATTTAGAGATAAAGATACCAGGAATTTCTTGTGACAGTATCAAATAGATCCAGCACTCTGACGTCAATGGAGAGTATAACGACTGGTAGTGATGTGGCTTTACTATATCAGAACAGAAACCAGAGAATTGGTTTCCTCATCTGATTCCTGCCTGTATTTCCTTTGTACGTTCACGTCACTGTGCTGCAACGTTCTAAGTCATTATCACGAGGCCCCTGGAAATATCACCAAATCTGCACGTTCCTGCAAGACTACAGCACCTAGGACCTTCTATTGTTTAACATATATTTCCTAGAATGGGGAGGGCCAGAGGGTTGCAGAGAATTTTGATTCCCTCTCCCTCCTCTCCTTGCGTGAGCTCTGTCTGGGACCAATGCCCTCCCGTTCCTCGAAGCGAAGGTCTCGCGGCGGGCGGCAGAGGGCCCCAGCACGTGACGGGCACCGAGCCCTCCCGGTCCCTCGAGTCCGGGGTGCAGTCGGCGCTGACGTCGTCCTCGTTACCCATAAGCCTCCGGGCCCGCAGTGAGAGCAGGAAGAAGGCGTGCGGGGCCCGGCGGCTGCCAGGGAGGTCGGCGCTTCCTCAGAGACTGAGATGCCGCCGCCGCCTTCTAATGCTTGCGATCTGGTGGGGGGCATCTGGCACTCACATCCAGGGCTGAAAGGGAGACTGCCCGCCAAGGCTCAAGTCTGGCATTGCTGCCACGGTTTCCAGACGCAAGCCCATGTGGGACGGGGAGCTCTGCTCTGACAGCTGTCGGACGGAAGACGGCCAAGGAGGCACGTCAGTTGTGCTCTCTCCCGATCATCACGCGGCACCCGTTTGTAGGTTATGCCTAACATCCAGGGATTGTATAGCAGTGTGACTCTGAGGACTACCATATGGTGTTTAAAGTGTGCTGCTATTTAATAAGTATCAAAGAACACGCACGAGCACAATTTTAACCTCAGGCCCAACCTTTAACCTGTCTATTGGTCGTGGTTTGTTTTTCACTCTCCTTCGCATCGCTCCTTCCTGTCTCTCTGCCTTTATCGCCTGCGGTCTCACTTCTCGTCTAGACTCTCCCGGGCCGCTCACATTTCTGCCGCGCGCCCCCGCCTCTCCTCTCCGCCCCGCTGACTAGCCTCTTCCTCCTTTCGCCCCCTGCGCCCCAAGCCCGGGACTGCATTTCCCGGTAGGCTCCGCGGCCGGCGGCCAATGAGGGGCCGAGGATTTGGCGGCGGCGGCGGCGACGCTCCAAGAGTCCGGGTGGGGGGGCTTTGTGCGCGGCGGCGGCGGCGGGAGCGGGCGGCGGGAGCGGGCGGCGGCAGGCGCGGCGGCCAGGACGGAGGCGGAGGCCGAGGGGGACTGTCCACGGTCGCCGCGGAGAGGCGTGCGAAGGCCGAGTCGAGCCCCGAGGACCCTGCTGCCCCGGCCCGGCCGCCAGCATCAGGCTCCTCTTGCGGCAGCGGCTCCGCGGCGACCCCTCATTCCCTCCACCTCCCCTGCCCACCCCACCTCCCGCAGCCTTCCTCCTCTCCGCTCCACGCCCGGCCCGGCCCGGCCCGGCCGTGGCCCTCTTCGGTGTCGGCCGCCATGGCAGAGGCGTCCTGCGCGGGGGAAATCTAGCCCGGGGATTTCATGCGGCCTAGCTTGGTTCCGTCTCCTCCCCCCGCGGCCCCGGCGGCTGCCCGAACCCCAGCCCCACTCCGGGCCTCCGTGTCTCTCCTGTGATCGTACTGACACGGCCGGGGGGTTAGAATGGAACAAACTGAAGGTAAAGTGAATGTGTGCGTGCGTGTGTGCGTCTATGTGTACTGGAAGGAAGGGCTGAGGAGGGAACGACGAGGAGGGGGCGACCTAGGGATGGGACCCGGGTAGGGAGAGAGACCCTAGCAAGGATGGGAGGACAAATGGGTGGCCTCAAAGGGTTCGAAGGGAGTCTAGAAGGAGAAGCAGATGGCAAGATGGGGGGTGTGGAGGGGATTGGGGGGTGGGGCAGGGGAGGTAGGATTGGGATAAGAGATGGAGTGGTGCTGAGCTGGGAATTGGGAGTAGAGGTGGGATGGGGGCGGGGATAAAGATGGAACCGGGGAGGGGCAGGGAAAGAGAGGAAGAGTTAGGTTTGGAGATTAGAGACCTGAGCGGACTGAGAAATAGGGAGGTTTGGGGGTGGAGTGTGGGAACTAGAAGAGTCTGGAGGAAGAGGATAGAATTTGTTGGAGAAATGGGGAATCAAGGGAGAAAGGAGGGAATGGAAGTGGAAGAAAAGGTGGATTAGGAAAAGGGATGAGAAATGATTGAGAGAGGATGCAATAGGAAGATAGGAAATGGGAACTGGAAGACGTAGGATTGGGATAGGGAAGGAAATTAACTGAATGTTGAAAAGGATGAGAACTATCGACCAAGCGTCACAGAGTGGGAGGAAAACAAGGGGAAGGGGGTTGTTAAAGTGTTACGAAGGGAAAACCTTTTGTTCCTATATTTGTGTGTATTCTGTGCCTTTTCTTTCAAGGCTAAAGAATAGAGAAGCTAAGTGGTTGTGGTGTCGTGATTGTTGTGAAATGGGGAGGTGTGGGGCTTACTGTTTTGAGGGAGGAGAAGATGTGTTAGTGTTATGGTAGCAAGACGGGGAGAGACATGGCCATAATTTGATGGTTTTGGTGAGGGAGTGAAGACTATTCAGATTTAAAGGGGGCAGGGGCAGCCATGTTTGCTGCCAGGCACTGCAGTGTAAATAAATTCCTTCTCTCCGACATCAGTATGAATCTGGAAGGGGCCAGTTCAGATTGCTAACCCCCTTTCTTTCTATTCCTGAACTCTTCCCTTACATCTTGGGGTCATTTGAAATTATTCCTAACCACCAAACGAGGTAGTGATGTTTTCCATCTTGTATCTTTTGCTGCTTTCCTCCCCCCTTTTCCCTCTTCCTTCTAATTGCAAACAAGGCATGCCAATGAACTGCAGTGTAAATTTAACCCTTTTTATAAAGTTAAAACTAGATCTTTACTAACCAAAGAAATCATTACTACTCTCATATTTCAAACATGATCATGAAAAGTCTTTTAAACGTTGAAAAGCGTTTGTTTCAGAAGCCTCAGAAGCAGTCAGCATGTTTTCTGCAATTCTTTAAGTAAACAAGGAAATTGCATGGGTTATTTTACTTGGGCTGTGCTCCTGGCAGAGCATGCGTGTAGGGATGAGAAGGGGTAGGAAGGTCTGCTTGTGATGGATTATCTGCTTACTGTATTTTGGATGTTGGAAAATTAGAAATGTGTGTATTTTAAAATGTGTTTCTCGTAGCGCTTATAGGTGATGGGCGTGTTAAGTGTTTTCTTTTTTTTTCTAAATTCTCTCTCCATCCTTTCCCGTTGCTTTCATGTAGCTAGCTCAATACAGTCTCCAAATGCCAGTTCTGCACAGTGCAATTATCTATGAAGTAGGCATGCAGTTCTTAGAACCTCATTGAGGTGCCAGTTTTTTTTGGTGGGAACTTCAGGTCACTCTCAGGAAAGCTACAGTAACTCTTTAATGTATTCGAATACAGCTACTTGTGTGATTTGGAATAGTTCCTATTCTAAAGGTTTAAATCCTGACAAATTTACAGTAGATTGTTAAATGGAGCCTAATTTATTTCCATACTGAAAAGGATTAAATGTGTGTGACTTTTTGTTTTTTAGTTTTAATTGGGGTAATCCAAACTTTAATCCATCGTTGATACTGAAACTGTTCTCTAATACCATGAAGGCCTGTTAAAATTGTAGTAAGATGGATTCAAACCAGTTGTGCTACATATTGATTTAATCTACGCTAATGCAACATCCTTTCAGGTGTTATATAGAAGTTTAGGATGTGTTCTTGGTCTGTTGGAAAAATTAAATTGAATATTGTTAGAGTGGCACTTTCTGAGAGCACCTTTTGTATAAAGGCCAGATTTACAACTTGGAGTATTTTGATTTGATAATGTTCAACCTGAATTTTAAAAATTCTGTGGGGAAGATTTCCACTCAAAATAGGCATTCAGTGTATTTTTTTGGAATTTATTTTTATGGAGATTTCGTATTTATATCTCCCACTCGATTGACATGTTATTTGTAATTAACTGGTAAATTGTGTGCATGAACTATCAGTGCCATACATTTTTTAGGAAAATTAGAAATTGTTGTATATTAAAATAAGAAAAAACACATTGGAAATTTGAATTATTCAAAAAAATGTATTCCTTTGTATTCAGCATTTTATAAAGATCAGGATCCCCTGCCCATGAGTATCCTGGTTTCTAGAATAGGTATCCCTATAAATGAGGAAGGCTATTGTAGTTAGGTGATACTTAATTAAAACCCAAACTTGGCTCTGATTACCATGTCCATCAGCCCACCTTCTGCCTGTGGTAGGTTTTTTTTTAATCTTAAGTTAATAAATGTGCTCTTTCTTGTACTGATCAGATTGAATGAATTTTGGGTAAAGGAAATTGGTTGTCTTTGAGATTGGTCATCCTTGAGTAAATTGTCAAATCTGATTCTAAAGACACTCAGTTTCTGGAGTTTATAATAATATTCATAGTAATCATAGTAATAGCTGCTAATAGTTGTTGTCCTATATATGCTATGCTGAGTGTCTTACATGCATGATTTCCTTTTATCCTCCCAACAGTTGTATGAGGTTAGTACTGTTAACTCCTTTTTACAGATGGAGAAATTAAGGTTAAGTAACTTAATAACATCACACAGATATAAGTAGCAAAGCCAGTATTTGAACCTAGATCTTTTCTAATTATAGAACCTAGGTTAGCAGAACTTTACTTTTAGTTTCTTTAAAACAAATTTATTAAAATAATACATTTGTTATTTTAAAGTGTTTTTCAAATATTATAAAAGGCGAAGAGGTAAAAAAATAAGTTAACACCCTGTTCGTCACTGATAACCATTTTGAAGTTTCTTGTGTGTCCTTCTAGAAAATTTCTGCATGTATATATGTATATTTGCCTTAAAATACATAGAAATCAGGTCATAGTGTCTGCATTTTACTTTTTTATATTAACAGCCTATCTGGGACATCCTTTTAAATAAGCACATATGGACCTACAACGTTTTTTTTAAGGGTCATATAGTGGTCCATTGTTCGGAATATTAACATTAGGTTAACAGGTTTTTGCTATTATAAGTAATATAGCAGGTCCTAAATTAAGTCCATAACAGCATATTTAAATGGAAGAGAGAGAGTCTGTTTTATTTTACAAGAGAGAAAACTGAGGCCTAGAGAAGTTAAGTCCAAGCCTTTGGTGACAGACCTGCTGCTTGGCTCTTTATACTACGTCACGTTACTTCATTATTATGAAAGTATTTGAGTTTTGTGTGAAAGCTCACGGTGAGGGGGAATACTCAAGGGTAGGCAAGTTTAGTGTAATGAGTGCAAGGGGATTAAGTTGCAGCAAGGCAAAGGATCGTGCTTCTCTTTTTTCATAATTTGTTCACATGTACATATAGCATATGTATAAAATATGTTTACATTTATAAAGGAATCATGTCTGAGTATCTTGAAGTTGGTGTAATGAAATTTTTTCTAGCACAGTTTTTCCTGTTTTAATAAGATTATCAATGAAATAAAATAGCAACAAAATGGAAAAATAAGAGGTCCATCGTGGTCCTAGAAAAGAACTTGGGAAAGAAAATTGAGACATTGGTAAGTTTTGTAAAATGAGCTGAAAATACCTAATTGAAAACAAATTTTTAAAAAAATCTTAACAGGTACCATTGATTACTTTATTGTTAATTATTTTTGTCCATCAAGAAGAAAATAAGTCACCATGGATACTTATTCATTGGGTTCTTTTAAAACAAAAAGTCTGTTTTAGACACTTAAAAAATTTAAATAATTAAAGCTTTAAAAAGGTTTAGAATTTGGTATCTATCTATGAAATCTGTTTCTTGATACAATGCTGTTTTTAATTTTACTTTAAAAAAAAGAGTATTTTTTGAAACAGCAGCTAAGATGATTTATTCCTTTTTTAATAAACAACATGCCCAGCATTTGTTTTTAAATGAAAGATGAGCTTTATTTCTATGGACTAATCTTTTTATAAATATTACTAAAGGTAGATTTAAGAAATTGATCATGCTACAACTACCTAACACATTGTTTTAAAGCTAGCAGAGTTTTGGTTTTTTGTTGTGGACCTAACTAAGTACTTAATAAGCACTGTTAAACACTTCTGCGTTATGTTGTGCCTGTATGGTGTCGCATGAAAAGAAAGTAAAAGGCATATTTTAAATTTTGCGAATTTAGAGAATGTTCAGTTTTTAATAGATGGGTGTGTGTTGTTACTTGTAAAGTACTTCTGCTTATTGACAGGGTTTTGAATTTGAAAAGCTCTTTGAAAAAAGGTTCTGGGGTTATTTTGAAATTTAGATGTGGGTGTGTGTCATCATTCACTGATCTACAATGACAACTCTTTTTCTTACTAGGTTCCCTTTTTCATCTAGACTTAGGGCTATATTGAGGAGAAAAGGAATAGAGAAATGAAAGATTTCCGTATTCATATAGTTTCTATTTAACCATATAAATATATGAATGTTATTATCTAGTAATACCTTGCACTTACATGACATCTTCTGAGATGTTCCATAGAATTCCCACACTATGACTTTTTTTTTTTAACATGGAATTGGAAAGCACAAGAATTGTTTAACCCAATTTAAAGATGGAAAAATTGAGATTTTGGGAACTCCACAGGCCAAATATACTGCCATGTTAAGTAGAATAAGGTTTTTGGATTTC